TAACAAAACATTTAAACGACAAGTAGAACAAAACACGAGTTTATATATAGCATTCTATTTTTGAATGTGTGTTGTAATACACAGTTCAAAATAGATACCGTCTGAAATCGCCTTATTAAACATTTATGTGAGCAAGGAAACTCCTGTTCTACTTTCTGTAAAATGTTTGGTCGAGACACACGCGCACCCACGCACATAGAATAAACATAACGTCATTCTGTTCTTATGCTATTTATAAACTTCTGATGACCTTTCTAAATATAGATTAACGTCATCAAAGTCTATATATATGTACACAGTTAAAAAAAAAAAACAAAATAAGCATGATAAGAAATCGTTTAAAAAACACATTAGATAGGCTCGCGTTTAACGTGCGCGTGGAAAATGACTGAAAATAAAAATTGCAAAAATCAAAAGAACAATGTTCGGTCGCAATGTGCGGTAAATTAAAACCGCAGAATCGATTTACGGGCAAATGTGCAACGGGCAATCGCAGTTGCTCTCGGCGTTGAATTCACGTATCTATACCTATATCGGTGCCAACTTAAGATAATGCTGTGGGTGCGGTAAAGGAGTTCATCGCCTACGCTTCTCGAGCCGACGTACGTATATAGCAAGCGTGTTGAAAAGCCCGCTGTATAGGTATCCGCTGCGACATTACGCGAATATCGACGGCAGAATGCCAGCAGCGATATTGGCGGTTTAAACCCGTCCGTCGTTTTAACGCGGCACGAGAAACGGAATACGCTCAATTATTGTGCGTAAACCCGGAAGCGGATGAACACGCGCGACACGACGATAACTCGCGGTAGCGGCTGTATGACGATCGAGCGATCGAAACAAAGCGAAGCGCGTTGCGCGATTGCGCCAGCTCCACAGTGAGCCAATTAGCTCGATCGAACGACGCGCTAATCACGACCAATAAGGCATAATGATACGCAACGATCAGATTTCAAACGGACGATTACTTCTTCACTCGATCGTACTTCGAGTTGTGCGGAATACGCATTGCGTGACGCATTTGCAGAAATTAAGTACGCACGACATTCCTTTTTGCGCGAAGGATAAACATTCGTCATGTTGCTTTATGATTTCTAGAAATGAGTCATATCGTCATAGGTAGTTACAGGTATTTTGAATTTATCGCTTTTGTTCAGCAAGATAATCGGTTTTGGTGACAAGATACGATTGAAAGTCATTATGTATTTCTTACACAGTTGTGTGTGGTTAATTGTCAAATATATTTATCTTGTTTCAAGTAATCAAGTCTTAATTAAAAGACAGAAATATAGATTTTAACAGTTCAATATTTTATGAGAGAGTTAAAATCGGTCCAAAACTACTTTTTATATTTAACATTGATTTTTATATTTAATATTGATTTGTTAATTTTATTCAATTTTTAATAAAATCATTTATACTTGATTAAAAATAAGTTATATTATTGAATTTAAAACTAAAACAACTAATTTTAAAATTTATCTCAAAATGTAGTATTTTTGAAAAATATATGTTGTATTCATTTTTGCAATTACAAATATAAAATAAAAATAGATTTTTTGTGGTTATTTTTAAATAATGTTCAGATCACGCAAAAATAACAATAAATAATCTTGTGTGTGTGTATGTAGAATAGAATTAACTTTGATAATGTTCTCTTTTCCGTTGTTTAAAAGAGTTCAATAAACATTGTAGTAAACAATAATCATAATTTGTGTCACAAATTCGTAACGTTGTAATAGTAACATAAATACAAATATTGTAACAAAGATATTGTAACAAATAAATATTGAAATAAAAAACAATATTAAACGAAAAAAATTATATCGTGAAATACCTCTGGCGTGTAAATTCCTGAGCAAAATGTGTACATCGCTGGCTCGATCCAAAGTGCAGCGTGTAATCATGGCATCAAGCCGCATCATTACTCGCAGCACGAATGCTGAATTCTAATTGAGCATGATACTGTACGGAAGACACGATGAATCGTTAATAGTACGCGTGTCGCTCGGACAGTTAAAAATGCGTTGCGCGCATCGGTTGTCGGGATCAGATATGCATTGAAACCCGTTCACTTCGCTCGATTAATGGGTAACCCATGCCGTGGGGCAGGTAAGGATAGATCGATACCCGAGCGTAATGTAGGTTACAACGACCCTTATACTCTCGGTGCTTCGTTACCGCCGGTAAAACTTCACGCATCTCTCGCAAGCTCGCGCGCGCCTCTCGCAAAGTCCCTAAAGACTCTCTCGCGGAAAATGCTCCGAATTTGCATGTAGCAAAAGCGTCGCCCGGAAAATCCGGTAACGAAAGCCATTCAAACTTTTCGCATCACGCGAAAAGCTCATCTCCCGCGCCAAAGGCGACTGTGAAAAGGGGTAATCTTGAGGTAGGAAACGCAAACTCGGGTAATTCGTATATCAAAAACTCGAAAAAGAACGCTCTCTCTCCTTTCGCTTGATTTTCCACTTTCCTCTCTCTCTCTTTCTCTCTCTCATTCTCTTCTTCTAACTCGATGCAAATTATCCGGGCATTGCATCCAAACTCCGGCATCGCACGCCGCAAGAAGTGCGCAAACGTTAGCACGAAACTTGCCGCGAGATAAATGTCACGAAAACGGCTCATACCGCGTCGGGAGATCGGCGTTTCTGGAATTTCCATGACTCTGCGGCATGTTCGAAGTCAATGGCACGCGAGATGCGGTGTCGAAATCTCTCGCGCGCGCACGGGAACAATTTTCGGTGACAATTATCGCCGCGCGCGAGCTTCGATAATAAATTTCGTTCGAGATTGATAATAATATTACGACCGTTTCGCAATTCGTCGCAATTCGTCGTGAAAAAAGTAGTTTTGCGATATATAGCATCAAGGCTGAATCCGCGAATATCGATTCGTATCGAATAAAACGAAATCATAATTCAAGGCAATACGTCGGTTATGAATATTAACAACACAATATTGAGACGAATGACGCGATTACTTTTTATAGACTGACGTAGTTTGTCTCCATTTGTGATAATTTTATATTTCAAAACGAGATAATAAATTGAGCGATACAATTAAATAATTGATTAATTAAAATTGCATTACAAAAACGTTTATTGTAGAAAAGTTCGCGTGATTCCAATTTGCGCGTGTGGTGTGTTTTGTTTTTTTTTCTTGGATTGTTGAGTTTTTTAGTCCCATTTCTTAAGATTGTTAAGTGGAACACAATCATAAGTATGATTTAAACCGAAGGACGAAGAGAGACGGAAAACAAAGTGCAGGTTGAACCCGCGTTTTGCTTAGCAAAAACTAGTGCATTTCGAATCTTCTGCTGTACGTAAGCGCTCTCTCTCTTTCTCTCTCTCTCTCTTTTTCAACGTATTCACCTATCCTGCCCTCTCTTTCTGTCCCTCTCAACGAAAAGTACTCTCTACAAACGCGGAATTTTTACTACATCCTCGCGGTGCGGATCCTGACGAGGGTTCGTACGACGCCGCATTAAAGGCGAGCATCGTTTAAAGGCGAACTTACGAGCGTGGAAAAGATGCAGCTAGAAAAGCGGTGCAATACATGCGCGTCGCTAGTGAACCGTCTTCTCCATTTAGTAGAGTGTATAAAATCACGCATACTCATCTAGTTACGTCAATTTGTTTTGCGTGATACAATTAACTTATTGCTACATGGAAATATACTTCTTATTTTGCACCGAGATACGTAATTTAACTACGTGTCGCATTGTTAAGTCGCATTTGCAACACTTTTTAATTTAATTTTTAACTTTTTTTATAATACACATGTGAAACTAAACAAGTCCGATATTTTCTATCAATCGGAAACGCCATTTATGTATATTATTTCTCGCGATTGTAATTCAAATTCGAAACGTTGCGGTGTATGGGGGATTGTAAATCAAATTGCAATTCTCTCTCTTCGGCGCGTGACGTCCGTACGAAGTTTCCTCTCGCGCTTAAAGATATCACAGGACGGGATCAAGATAAAATATGCACGAGATGTACACCGTGAAATTAATTTTCATTCAACTTTACGCCGGTGTTACGAGAATATTTAAAGAGCGTGTCTTTCGCGTGCACGACCGAACATTTAATTACGCGAGTCAAGACTAATTAAATTCATCTTGATGAAGACGAACCAGCAGGTCGCTGCGGGATGGTCGCTGTTTCATACCACGAGCCGAGCATTGGAATTACGGTCTCATTATTGCGGTATTCGTCTTCCTCCCGATTCGATGACGTGGAGGTCGACGTTGAGAATGTGCGACTAACGATTCACAAGTACACGCGTCGTCTTTCCGTGATGATGTGTCGAGTTTATCGGAATTACGATCGTGCAGCGAATGTGTCATCGAATCATCCGCTCTTGGCAATCATTTTCTCAACTATAACTTTTCTAAAGCGTGTCTCGAGATTATTACGAAGCTGAACTGGCTCCAAATGCGATTCTAAAAAAAAAAAAAAAAAAAAAAACCACAATTTTGCAAAGAGAAAATCAAGTGTAAAAAAAAACAGGTCAATTTTTCTAGTTTTTGTAAACACATCGCGCATACTGTTTATTTGTTCGAACATATTTCATATTGTATATTCATTCGAACATGTTTCAAAAAAACAAAACGTAAGAGCGCGAGGTTCGTAATAACAAAGCGATAAGTTTCGAATAGAAGCTGTAGTATTTATCAACAATACAGTACCTAGCTTATATCAATCTATTTTCTTTCAGCAATATATTGGTCTCTAGCGCGGTAATAAACACATTGATTATCGTTTGCGTTTCATTCACGTGAAACGCAAACGTCACGTGTTCACGAGAGATTGTTTACAATCGATATAATCCGTTTTTATACACCACGCTTTGTTGTCACGCCTGACAAAACGCCGCGTGTTTTAAATACTTGCTCTAGCAACGAGAGCAAAACACGTCGCTTCGAAAGACATCAACACGGCACGTAAACGGTGCGTGCAAATTCTTGGAACACGTATCGTAGAAAATCGTAAACTCACCGTGACGAGGGAAAATTCCGTAGGAAAATTCGACCGATTTGTTTTACATTCCGCAGACGTTCTTTCTACTGATTTTCTTTCTTCTTTCCTCGGCAGGCAGGTTAAGATTAGAAGCTTGTCTCGGTGCTTGCCTTGCTGCCTCTCCGTCCGTGAATCGCTCGCTCTCCCCTCCTCGCTGCACTGTCATTTACAATATCATGTTGCTTCTCTGTCTCTTTTGTTCCTTTCTTCGTCAATCACTTACAACACCAGCCGAGACGATGCCCCGTGAAGAGAATGTTCCGCGCCGCACCGAAACTTGGACTCATTTCGTTTTCTTGCTTTCTTGATACTTGGCATGCAACGCCGTCGCACGAAATCGATTGGTCGCGAGAAATCACGAGGGATCGCGAATCCCGCGGGACTCGAAAAACACGCAAGGAGAGTTCGCGCGTGATACGTTGGCGACGAGAGAAAGTCACGTTGGACACGCGACGTCGCAACGAGTTTACCGTAGCTTCGTAACGGCGAGCATACTACTACTTCTTCGGAGCGGTCTTCGCGCTTAGAGGTTAGGTTCGAGCATCTGGCGTCGTCTCTCAGATTCCTTGTTTCGAGTCGTTTCAGCGGACACTGCGCGTTCGCTACATACAAAACCAGAGCGACGTTAAACACGCATCGATACGACTACGAGTAACTCCGCGCGATGTGTCCCAGTCGGAGCCTCGGCACGGGATGACCGGCGAAAAACTATACGAAAACACAACCGTACCAAGTGCGCGACCGGCGTCAGACTGCCGCGAGAACGGAGCGGGGATTCAGTCGTGGCATCGCCCGGTTAGAGGGGTCGCCCCGTCCTCACTCCGATCATGTCCCTAGACTAGCCGGCTACCGGCCCTTCTCCCCACTTCCGCGTCGCCCCGCCGTCGCCCCGGTCTATCCCTTCGACCGTGGTCGTCCCCACTCGGTCCTGCTCGTCCCCACTCGGTCGCGTATGGATTCCCCCGCCACGTCGCTGCCCGCTATTTCTTCAACGACTAGCGCGCTCCCACTACTCCTATGTCCATGGTGGTGAAAGAGTGTGCCGGCACGAGAGAGAGTCTCCGTAAACTTGCCAGTTGTGCGAGCGGGATGAACGAAAGAGTGGGTAACGCGAGTGGGACTGAAACGCGAGTGACGGGAGTGAGAACGAGAACAGGTGACGAGCTCAGCGAGACGGAGACTGCAGCTGATGTTGTGACGGAGAGAAATTCAAGCGCGCGCGCGCATGCTGTTGAATGAACAAAGATGGCGATAGATAAGTGGGAGTAAGAGAAAGATAGAAAGAGGAGAGAATGAGAGGACCGATATTGGTACCGCGCACGAGCGAGATAAATAGTATCGCGAGAAAGATAGTGCACCGGCGGCACGACAGAGATGAACGCGAGCGAGAGTACTACAAGTGAGACGCGCTTGGTCGTATGGAGACTGCCGTCGTTGTCGCAATAAAGAGACTTAGCGACTATGTTCAGGTGAAAAGAGATAGCGCGAGTAAGCGGGACGCGTGCGCATGCGCCGTATACAAAACTCGACACGCGGTCGCGCCCAAACGCATCGCCTCGCGATTTTCATATTGATGTATGTATATGTATGTACGGTATACGCTCTCTTGCACTCGCGGCGAACCGATTGCGGCCGTCGCAAATGCGAGAGAAGTCGTAGAGACGCACGATGTAGAGATGGACGATAGATCGTGCATCTCTATGTATAGCCCGCGGTAGAATGAAGTAGGCGAGTATCGATAGTAGGCGTTTACACGCGAGAATCGAACTTACGCGCTTCGATCGAACATGTACGATGTTTGTGGACGTGCTATATTCATTTGCGCGATTTTCTCACGAACTTTATTAAAACGAAATTATCAAAGCGAAATTGGTTCCGAAATTGATTCCAACTTTAATTATTAAAGTGAAATTGAAACTGTTTTGTTGATGATTGCAACAAAGTAATAGTCTACAAAATATGCGTGTGTAAAGTTTTACATAACGTTTTCAGTCTTAGTGTTTTTTTACTTTTAGAAATAGAATTTATACCTGTAAAATAAAACGAACACTTAAAATTGAACGTATCGTGAAAAAATACAACGATATATTTACTTTTTGATGAATTCAAAATATCTTTTTTCTCTAACGAAAACTTAAGTAAATGTTTAGTTTTCACAAGTTACGTACAAATATTTTTAAAACTAAACCTCCCTCCATCTTGTTGAAGTATCTAAAATTGATCGAATAAGATTTTATGATCTACTTACTTTCGTGTTCTCTAAAAATAACTTTATATACTAGAACTTTTCTATTATAAATATTGAATATTGAATAATTATCTTTCATGTGTATAAACTTTTGCAAGCGCGAAGTTTAGTCAACTTTCTTAATGATACGTTCTTGAAGTTCTTGATGAAAATTTTGCAAAATATTAACGCTTATTAACGTTGTGTAATCAATCATTCGCGCGTGCGCGGCAGACGCGCTAGTTCGTTACATATTATTTTAACTTTTAATATTGATTATTTTGAAAAAAAAAGCACAGCGAGATAACTATTTTATATCCAATATTGCAATAATTAAAGATTAATGTTACATCAACTCAAAAATTAGAATTAGTTTTACACTATTATATATTGAACATTTTTCAGTATAGGATAACTGTATTGATGAGATAAAATGGTTCTAAAAAAAAAAAAAAAAAAAAAAACATTCAACCTACGTGCGATATTTCTCTGACACTGTGTCTGTACACGTATCGATGGACGCTTTCAGCGGAGAAAATGGATGAGCGGCGATCGAACATGATTGGCCTGTATCCTCAAATCCAACCAGTTCGAACGCTACTCAATTCATTTTTAACTGTGTCATTTCTATTGAATGCACTTTATATAGATCATTAAATGCGCTGATAGATAAATTACATCGATTGATAAAGCAATTAGTGATATGAATAATCTGTACATGGCGGAGAAATATTGATCTATACTACTGGACGATGCAATTTCTCCTGTTACATGCTTATATTTAACGTGGTTTTTTTTTTTTTTTTTTTTTAATACACTTGTACAAAACTATTTAAGTTTTACACCAATATTATCTGTTATTCTCGCACATAATGCAAAAGAGAGTAGCGAGGCACTCTTATGAGAACATTTCTTTTATTATTCAGCTGATAGTCGTAGTCTTCCCCCCGTTCCTCTGAATTCTTCAGCGATGCAATTCCGTGTACACCCTCGCGGCGCGCTACGAAATGAGTCCCTGAAAATGCTGAGCTGCGGGGGGTCAACTAATGAATTCCGGTATGGTTACACTAGCCCGTCTCGAGCTCACAGATGCACTTCGAGGTCTTATCGTCAGCTGGAAATCAGCCTGCCCGGCAGATGTTCGCGAAAACCTCCACTTCTATCGTCGTCGTTCTCCTCCATACGTCTCCTGTGGCTCTCGTGTTCTCGGAGCCGTCGACGGAGAAACGCCGGCGTAAGGTGCTAAGTGCGAGCGTCTTATTCCTCGACGAAGAGAGAAACTCCGAGCGTACTCTGCGTTCTTCCTTGCGCGTTTACGGCACGAACACGAGCTGCCGCGTCTCAAATTGTGCTCCCGGGATTCGGATTATGTTCTTGAATTTCGGCGTATCACGTTCGTGGATGCCGGGTGCGAATCGTCGGAAAGAGATCATAATAATATTTGAATTCATATGCGAACGGAAAATGCCGGAGGATTTTCCGCGCGGCGCGCGTTTCGGGCATTACAATTCATCGCAATTTCGTACGCGTGATTCCTCTAAGTATTCTGCCGGATTTACATTTATGCATTTTCAATTTTTATGTGTTGCATATATCGATATAAAGAAACATTTATTTCTTATTCTCTTCTCTGGCACGTATTTCGTTACAAAATTAAACAAAATTGAGGAAAAATTAGAGGAATTAAAAAGAAAGTCTTTTGGTCTTTTTTTTAATGCCATTTCAAATTAATTTGTTTCTCTTAATTAGTTGCCATACCATGCCAATCTATGGCCGATTGGTTTCACTTCGGTTCTCGCGATCTTAGAACACATTCCCCACTTTCGTCTCGACGTTTCCGGGCTCTTTTATTATGCGAGCTAATACTCAGCGTGAGATGGAATCCCATGCCGACAATTTTCAAGAAAGTTAACAAGTTTTCAGCCGATTAGACTTTTAATCGTTATTACCCACTTTACCGAGTGCTACGTTTATCGCCGCGGCCAATTAAAATCGCGATGCAGATGTCGTTTTTCTTAATTGCTTTCTCACTTTCCTCCCTTCTTGTCCTGCTTACTGAAAGAAAAGACCAGCGCGCGTTTCAGTCGTTTTAAATAAATGTGTCTATTTCCAAAGTATACGAAACCCTTATAAGCTCTCTCGGAATAATATTTTCGTACTTATTTATGTGTGTGCGAGTTCGCAAAACTTATGAAAATGTTCAACAGTTTTGTTGCTTTTTGATTATTCAATACATCGTTTATATTTCGAGTCATAAACATTACAAAGGTATATACAAGTACGAGATTAAGGCGAGATTTTAACTTAATAAATATAAAAAAATAAGCTTTAGACATAAATAATTAGTAGATTTGTTATATTATAAATATTGCTGTTATTATTACGCATTGTAACGCTTCGTATAATAGTAGAACCTGGTCCAAGGAAAATTATTTGCTGCATGTGTGCAAGTACGTGTAACATTTTTTCTTCTAGAGTTTACGGGAGGAAATGAAATTTCTTTTTATTCGCTATTCTTCTCTGTGTTGCGCGTGACGATGGAAACAATAACTTATACTGCACATTCCTCTCTCTGTTTTCTCTGTATTGACGCGCTAACGCGTATTTATTGTAGATATATGTTTAGATATATATATATATATATTACTAGATATATTTATTTCAGATATTTTATGTTCTTCAACAAATCATTACCGAGCAAATTGCGAAGTTTTGTTTTTTTTCCGAATTGAAAAAAAAAATACTGAGCGGAAAATTCATTCATTAATTAAATTGAATCGTGAAATGATGGCAAAACAAATGTATAGAATTAAAAACAAAGGAATGTCTCTAAAATTTCTTCTTTTTTTATGATAAATGATGAAATTTTTATTATCGATATTAATGTTTCAGAATTTTTCGCGTGAAAATTAGCAATGTTCGATGTGCGGAGATAAAGGTCCGCGATAAAAAAAACTTCTCCAATTCATTTGTCACTTCTAGACCGTTCTTTCTGCTCGCGCAGTAACGTGACATTGTACCTGGGTGATCGGAAGTAAAAACTGGAAACGACACGTATCGAGGATGAAATTATGTCTTTTCCGCGACGGAACGATTCCGAACGGTACGTCAAAGCGGTCCTTGCGATCGAATCACGCGGCGCACAGTATCGGCATCTGACGGCTTTGTCGGTAGACAACTCTCTTGTCCTTCTTCTGTTTGTCTTGTCTGTTTTGAGACTGACATTTCACGGCGCCTGTTACTCCCTGAGCGTCTATCGGAAAACGAAAAGCGCGAAGCGTGCGAGGTTGCGCGCTGTATGTGTGCCGACGTAGCCCCGCAGTGCTTCATCGCAGATGAGTTCCTATCTTTTTCGTTCGCCGGGGCTTTCTCGCGCGCACGCGATTCAATTTTCCTTGCTTTACTCCGGAGTCGCGGAGGGAGAGATGTTCTCTAATAAAATAGTAACTCGTGAGCATAAACTCTAGCAAAATTCGCCGCTTTACCGTAAAAAGCATGAGAAGAATGCCAGAGATATTGGTAAAACATTTTCGTATATATTTCGTA